GAAACATCGTTTCAACTACAGGCGGACGGAACTGATGAAGACATCAAAGTGCGAGGATCGGGATAGCAAGGCAAGCTTTCATTACTCTCAAGTCTGTGTGAAGTTCAACAACACTCAGCTTGAAAAATAAGATCCGGATTTTCAACTCCATTGTGAAGTCAGCGCTACTTACCATTTGGATCAGAGACTTGGCGCTGCGCCGCGTCACGAAGTGCACTTCGGACTACTACTACAGACTTTCATCAACAGCTGTCTTCGCTCAGTACTACTCAAGATCAGATGGCAGGCCAGAAAAGATGAACAACATGGATCTCTGGAAGCGAACCAACCCAGCAGGGACCGATTGTGCAAGAAATATGCAGAAAGAATTGGAAGTGGATTGGCCACACTCTGATATCACACACTAGGCCATCGCTTGGCTGGAACTCGAATGGGAAGCGGCGAGTCGGTCGTCAGCGTGAGGGTGACATGGAGAAGGTCATGCGAAGAGAAGATGAAGGCATATGAGCAGACTTGGAGCCAGGTGAAAACGTTGACAGGGAAAGGAACGCAAAGAAGATATGCAGCTGAAACCCTATGTTCCTCTAGGAATTAAAAGAAACAATAATAATGATAATAGCTTCGCCCCACCCTCCTTTATGGCTGTCAGTCAGATATGGCCATTCAAAGTAAAAGACATGAAAAGCCTGGCTAGCTGTTTTTTACCATAGGCGCCTGCGTTGCATTTCCCATGTTAAATTGTATAATAACATGAGTAGTATTGGGATTAGGAGGGAAAATCAATCGACGAGATTGTGAAGTTTACACCGATTGAGGCGATGGTTAGTATATGTGTTACGGATGCATTCCTAGATATCGACCGCCTTCGTTGACGGGCAATGTTATCTCACTGACTTAGTGCTGATCAGGCTGGAAAAGAGCTAGTGGTGGTCAAACAAAAACATCGTTTCATCAGTCAATGAAATCCACAACAGTTCGCTTAAGCCACTTAGAAAGGTGTAGACTACCTGACTGCTTGAAGTCCTTGGGACGGTAAGAACCAATAATGGCTGGCGACAATTGATGCTATGTCTCAAAATGATCGTTGTCAACAGCTGGCACAGATGCATTCACTTTCTGTGATTGATCATATCCAATAAAACTATATTGTTCTTCCATATTACTATTCTTTTTGCCTCATATCTCTGTTTTGAATCCCTTTTTACTCTCTTCTTTTGCTTTATGTCCTACATGGAGTGTGGCACCTCGAACTGGTGCAAATCGGTTCAAAGTTTTTCATTGAAACCAGTAAGTCAGTCAGTGAATCAGACTTCAGATCAGGAGTTCATAGGGGTCGTCTTCTTAAAACAACCACGTGCTGCGATTTGGATGGCAGGAAAGTATCTTCCAGCACTCCCACAAACTATATGATTCTGTGTGGCGCATTTCATGGTGCTCATAATATGCCAATTTTGTGTTTTAATAGTCATAGTTCATACAAACCATTCCTGCAGCATCATCTTACATTTGATAGGAGTAGATTGCATGCCGAACATACTAAGATTTCGTCTATAGATTGATATCAGTGAGAGAATTGTTGAAAAGAAGCAGAGAGTACTGCTAGACAGTTGTTTTACCCTCCTGGTTTGAGACTGATCAAATTCGATGATATTAGATGGTTGGAGGCAATCGGTCACAAGAAGCCTTGGATGTAGGTTTCATACTAGTTGGCACTCGTCAGCAAGGCGTGTCTCCAAACTTGAAGAAACTCATATCCCTTCTGATATCCGAAACCGCACCATCCAGTGCAGTGCTGCTATCAGAGACGTTACTACTTGCCTAGCTATTCAGGCTCGCGACTGACCTCCTGTAGGACTGTTCCTTCCCTACGCCCCCACTGACTGCAGTTCGGATGAAACGAAGGATGAGTTCTACCAAAAGCTGTCTAGTTTGCTGCGAAAGGCTAGACGCTCAGATATAGTCATCTTAGCTGGTGACTTTAATGCTCAAGTAGGGAAATTGTGTCAATCTGAGAAGAATGTCGGTGGCACATACGGAATTCCGTGCCAGCGAACCGACAACGGTGACCGTCCCCTACAGTTCTGTTCAGATAATCATTTGTATCTTGTAAGCACTAACTTCAAACACAAGGAGAGACACTGTTTGACCTGGCGACCCCCATCATCAAATCAACGCTGGACACAAATAGATCACAAAGCAATAAGCTATCGTTGGCGTGGGTCGGTAGGAGATTGTCGCTCCTTCTGGAACACGTGTGTAGATACCGACCACGCACTGGTCCGCGCTCGTGTGTGCTTACGACTGAACGGACGTAGGAAACGGCTGGCGGTAAACCCACCACGTCCCCAGCTCGACCAGGGAACTAAGTCCCTATTTGAGGAAGAACTAGCTAAACACATATCTGAGTTCGACAGCTGCGCTCACCCTGAAGAAGCCTGGAAGAATATTCAGTCAGCCATAGATACAGCTGTAAAAGCTGTGAATAAGGTAAATCCAAAGGTGTGTAAAAACCATTGGATTTCGACTGCCTCATCCGAACTGATAGATGCTAGAAGACTTATTCCGGCGAGCTCCGAATTCAATGAGGAGCGAAAGCTGCACAAAAAGAAACTTACGAAAAGTCTCCGCAAGGACCGTGAACAGTGGTGGTTGACAAAGGCGAAAGAGATGGAAAAAGCATCGGCGATAGGCAACACCAGACAACTATTCAGGCTTATCAGGGAAACAGGTGGTAAAAGGCAAATGATAAGCGAAACAATCTCCGAGAAAAATGGCACCATAATTAGCTCCCAGGATAGACGTCTGGAGCGCTGGAAAGAACACTATGAGGAGCAGTTTAATTGGCCCACAGCCACACTTAACCTGCCGGACATCCAACACCTCCCTGAATGGGAGATAGACACAGGTCCTCCGTCCTTAACTGAGGTTACTAAAGCTGTCACCAATCTGAAGCTAGGCAAAGCAGCGGGACCTGATTTATTGACTCCAGAGGTATTTAAGTACGGAGGCGACAGTTTACTGTCTGCGTTAACGGAGGTCCTAGGCAGCGTCTGGGAATCAGAGGGAGTCCCATCGGGTTGGTGTAAGTCACTAATCATCCCGATATACAAGAAGGGGGACAAGTCGTCTTGTGATAATCACAGAGGGATTAGCTTGACTAATATAGTATCTAAAATCCTAGGCTCAATAATACTGCGTAGACTAAGTGGCGCTCGGGAGACACAAACACGGGAAGACCAGGCAGGTTTTAGGCCAGGTAGAGGGTGTATTGATCACATCTTCACCCTTCGATAGATTGTAGAACATAGGCATTCCTACCGGCATCCGACAATCATTATATTTCTTGACCTAAAGGCGGCATTCGATTCTGTCGACCGGGAGGTTCTCTGGCGATGCTTGGCTGTAAAGGGAATGCCAAGAAAATACATTGCACTGATTAAGGCACTCTACTCGTACTCATGCATCCAGGTGAGGGCTTATGGCGAGTTGTCATCTGAAGTGGTGACGACTAGTGGCGTCCGTCAAGGATGCCCATTATCCCCATTCCTATTCAATTTCACCATAGACGTACTAATGAACTTAACCTTATCACACTTCAGCGACTCAGGGATTGACTTGCTACCAGGGAATAATCTCGTTGACTTAGAATATGCAGACGATATAGTCCTTCTAGGCGAGGACTCTGACAAAATGCAGAGTCTACTGAACACCCTGAGCAACAATCTCCGTATGTTTGGCATGCGATTCGCCCCTGTAAAATGTAAGATGATGCTGCAGGATTGGACTTCATCGACCCCTAGATTAGAAATAGGAAGTGAAGTGGTAGAACACGTTGACCGCTTCAATTACTTGGGAAGTACCATCAGCCCCAAAGGGCTGATCTCAGACGAAATTTCAGCACGAATACAGAGGGCTAGGTTCGCATTCGCCAGTTTTCGCCGTCTCTGGCGTAGACGCGATATTCGACTATCGACTAAAGGGCGTGTGTACTGCTCAACAGTCCGCTCCGTCCTCCTTTATGGCTGTGAGACCTGGCCATTGAGAGAGGAAGACATGAAAAGATTATCTGTGTTCGATCATAGGTGTCTGCGTTCTATCTCCCGTGTGAAGTGGTATAATAAGGTGAGCAATATTGAGGTTAGGCGTCGAGTGCTAGGTAAGGAGGGGAAATCAATCGACGAAACGGTGAAATTACATCGACTGAGATGGTTAGGACATGTGCTACGTATGCCTAGTCATCGCCTTCCTCGACGGGCAATGTTAGCTGATATAGGGCCAGGCTGGAAAAGAGCTAGTGGCGGTCAAACGAAAACATGGCACCAATCAATGAAATCCACAACTGTTAATCTAAGCCACGTAGGAAGATGTAGACTTCCTGGTTGGGGCCCTCGGGATGGTAAAAACCAATGGTTGGAAACAATTGGTGACATGGCTCAAAATCATTCTCAATGGCTGGCGCAGATGCATCCACTCCTTGTGACTTATGATTTCCAATTAAACTGTTTTGTTCTCCGTTATTACTATTCCTTTGTCTCACCTCTGTTTACTGTCTATATTATGCATTTCTTCTACTTTCTTCATTTGTTTTGCGTGCTACATAGATTGTGGCGACTTGAACTGCTGCACATATGTGCAAAGTTCTATGTCGAAAACCGACCGACCGACCGACCGAGGACTGTTCCTTCAAGGTTGCAGATACGCCTTGCTGACTGGTGATTGTCAACTAGCACGAAACCTAGGAAGTGTGTCCAAGGCTTCCTGTGGCCAATCGTCTCCAACCACCTAATTATCAGCAAATCAATGTGCACCGTGATGGCGGCGTGCACCTAGCGGCATGGTGGCCACATTTTTCAATGTGACTGATATAATTCAGTCTGCACCAAACGTAGGACTAGACATATCACACTAGCTACTAGTGCCCAATCAAAATCATCTGAAACTACTTGATGTCATGTTTTATTTAATCAATGTCTTCTTTGTTCCTTCCTTTTCTTCTTCAGAAATACGACTTCGAATTTGATATGAACGATCCATTAGATGTTGAAATCAAACAATATCTTGATATGCTGCACAGAGTAGTTCCAGAATCATCAGCTGAAGAATCCAATGATAGTACAGAACAAGGCACTAGCCTTAGCGGTACTCAATCAGAGTGTGAAACAGAAACACGCACATCATGTTCATCATTATCAATAGGTGGTGAAGGCGGTGGTGTTAACACCGAAACTGTTGAACAACACAGTGATCAACAAAGTAGATCAAGTACAGGTTCTGTAACACATAGTCTTGAACATCGTAGACAACGGCGAGGACGAGGACGACATTATCGTAAAGGTCGAAGAACAACACCGCGTAATGCCGCCGCTGCCGCTTTTGATCTCTTCTCCAGTGATATTGTTTCAGTGAATCGTTTATCAGCACGTAAATTTGCTCAACTTGAAAAAGAAATTGCAGCAGCCATCGCTTCTTTTAGTAGTAATAATAATAATCAATCGTCATTACATAGAGTTAAATCTCATGAAGCCAATACCTGTGTGAATTCTAGTTCACGTAGTTCACGCAGAGGAATTCTATCGAACACAAAAACAAGGTATTCTAATTGATGTGTTGTTGTGTGTATTTATGTGGACATTTTTGTTTGTTATTTTTTTTGGCTTTTTGGCGCACCACGAATTGGTAGAAGTTAGAATTCATGGACTGGCCAGTGGCTGAATGGTATACGAGCCAGCTAGCTGGCCTTGTAACCGGAAGGTCCTGGATTCGAACCCCCCAGTGATGTGGGTGCGTACTGCCGATGATTCCCAAGCACTAGGCGGATGAAACAGCTGTCCAGTACTCCAGCGATGGTTTTCAATGGTTCTCTAACTGATTGATATCAGTCCGTGGTCAAACTCGTATAGACAAATCTAATCCACCGCCTTCCTCGACAGCGGCAATGTTAACTGACATAGGATCAGGCTGGAAAAGAGTTAGCACGAGGTGGTCAAGTCAAAGCATGGCTTCATCAGTCAATGAAATCCACAACAGTTAGTTTAAGCCTGCCAGCCAGTCACGTAGGAAGGTGTAGACTTCCTGACTGGTTGGGGTCCTCGGGACGGTAAACACAAATCACTGGAAACAATTGGTGGGTGATATGGCTCAAAATCGTTCTCAATAGCTGGCTAGCGCAGATGCATCCACTCCTTGTGACTTATATTATCCAATGAAACTATATTGTTCTTCGTTATTACTATTCTTTTTGCCGTATTTCTCTGTTTACTGTCTCTATTTGGCATTTCTTTTTACTTTTTTCTCTGGCTTTGTGTGCTGAGTGAAGTGTGGCGACTTGAACTGCTGCATATCTGTGCAAAGTAGTTCTACGTCGAAAGCAGACAGACAGACAGGGATTTGATTGATAGTCACAGATTTGATCACAAGTTGATACCACTTAGAGAGGGAAAAAAGAGAGTAAGAGAACCATTAGGAAACTACTATCAGGAAGTACTGAACAGTCAGCGATTTTGTCCCACTTTGGGATTCTTCGGCAGTACGTACCTATCTCCACTAGGGTTCGAACTCAGGACTGTGGTTGTAGCCATAGTTCAATGTGAAGAGATTAATTCAAAGAGTGTATACACCTTGGAAGGGGGTGTAAAATTATAGGATTAGTAGGCAAATAAAAGTGTTACACATAACATAATGTGAAGTTTGATAAGATGGGTTTTAACATTGAGAAAAAATACATGTCAAAATTGAAAAAATAAATGGGGAAAGTGAAATAATGGGGGAAACTTTTCAAAGCTAGAAAAAAATTAATAAAAGGTTGTAATGATAATGGAAACCTATACGGATTAAATGAACAATTAATTATTATTATTTTGTGCGTCGGTGGGACAGCAGTTAGGACGCTCGCCGACCATGCACATGGTCCGGGACTCAATTACCGGCCGACGCACGTCTTTAACTCGCTAAGCCAGAAATAAAAATAGCTGGGCATGAGGCTAGCAATCCCATCGTGTAAAAATAAACACTGCTACAGAAACTACAAGCCTGTAGGTTGAAGCCCCATGTTTCACTCAGGACGTGAAGGAATAAAACAAAAAACAACAAAATTATTATTCCCTTTGGTTCCGAGTGGAACATAGGGCTTTAACAATACATTTCCACTTTGTTCTATTTGGTGCTGTCCTCTTCATCTAGGTCCACGATAGCCTATAATCTCTCGTCTCCTCCTCCTCGCCACACGATCTCCCCCATGTCACCCCATCCTCGCAACAACGACCCACTCGTCGCTTCTCTTTGGGTTCCCACTCAAGCGATGGGCTGTTTTGCGCGTGATGTCATTCGACAGTTCCCTCAACGGCGTGTACCCGATCCATCTCCCTTTTGTCCTATGTGTTTGTTGAGCAATCAGTTCTTGCCTGTTGGTTTTCTGCCAGAGTTTCTTGTTACTAATTCTTTCTGGCCAGTAGGCCATTTGATCTTCAGTAGGGAGCCAGCGAATTGGGCGGCTGTTCATAAAAGTCTGCCACTAACTGTTGGAAATGCTTTTCGTGACTGACACGCAGTGCAAGTTTCTGACCCTTATGGAAGAACCGACTGATTTCACATTTGTGTTAAAAATCTGCAGAATGCAGATTTCCCAACTGGTTTTGGATTGATGAAGGAGTAACTTGCCTTTCGGATTCTGACTGGCTTTGGCATTCTCATGCATTCCTAATTCCTGTGATTGAAACCGTGCTTCTTAGATAAGTGAATGAAGTAACCTCTGAAATACCTCCAACTGATTATGATTGGTGCTGGTTGTTTTGCTGTTGGTCGGTGAGGTATCTTCATCACCTTCATCTTCTCCATGTTCACCTGAAGTCCTGTCTTGCTGCCCGCTTCTTCAACCAGTTTGTTGGTTTTCGCTTGCAAGTCTTGCAGTTCGTGTGACATTAGACGTAAATCATCTGCGAAATCCAGATCTTCTAGAGTCCTCTTATCAGTGGTCCAGCGTATTCCTGTCTTCTCACTCCCAACGCACAGTCTGATGCATAATCCAGTCCACCACATTTGAGAATATCATCGGTGACAATAGACAGCCAGCTTGTTTTACTCTTGTATTCACTTCAAACACCTCGCCGAGTATTCCGTTGTGGATCACTTGACACGTGGCATTGTCATATCGCCAGCTGCGCCTGAATGAGGTTGATAAAGATTTGGGGCAGTGCACTCCAAAGCGTTGAAATAGTTTCCAAATGACTTCGTGGTCGACGCTGTTGAAGACCTTCTCATAGTCGATGAAATTGAGGCAGAGATTTGATTTCCATTCTACTCTTTGCTCCATGATGATGCGTAGAGTTGGAATTTGATCAGTGCACATGATTTGCCTTTCCTGAATTCAGCTTGTTCCCGGTGTGGGGTGGAGTTCTGCATCCAGTGCATCCTTTATTCTCTCAAGGATTATGCGACTTGGTATTTTACTTGGCGTTGACAATTGCATTATTCCACTCCAGTTCTTGCGTAAACAAAATGAAAAATAAGCAAATAAATGTTTACCCCTTTACGGACAAGGCAGAAATATGATATTGTACATACTTCTTTTGTGTACAGAAGTCCTGCTTCAATGACTAAGACGTCTGGCGTTGATGCGTAACTGTCTCTCCTAAAAGCCACGCTTACTGAAAACGACTACCCAAACCGATTTATTGATAGAAATACGAAGGATAACTAGTCTAAATTGGTCACTAACACAGTTCTAAAGAAAACCATCTTCATGAATCTTGAATTCACAGGTGATCACACACTACAGATAAGCACAAAAATCGCCTTTCTAAATGAGTAAGTATGACATTCTTTGCAGTTAAAATCCAATTATTAGAAGTTAATTACTGGTGGATGGTGACTAGGAGTGGAATCCAGGACAACGCGCACTTCGTCCCATTTAGGACTCGTCGTCTGGATGTACCTGCATTCCCCAATGAGCTTCGGTTGGAACATCATCACTCCATGCGGAATGCAGCTACATCCAAATGAAGAGTCCCAAATAGGACGAAATGCGTATCCTGGATGCCACTGCTACTCACTATCCACCAATTAACTTCTGAATACTTACCCAGACATCGTCGAAGCATCTGTACAAAAAGCCGACTTGTCAACCTGAGACCGAGCACTTCAGTCCAATCAATCGACGAGAAAATCTAAAATTGAATTAAATAAAATCCAATAATCTTTCACCATCTGTGTGAAAGATAATCCCTCCGTGTGTATCTGTCAGTTTACCTGCTCTTGCGGAGCAAACTACATTGGCCGTAGCCAGAGAAAGTTTTCCACATGGTTACATGAGCACATTCCAGAATGATTGTACAAGAGAGAAAGGAAGGGTGGTGGGTGAATCTTCATTCTGGAACACTTGATCGATCTCTTTCACCCTACCCAAACCGACTATGCTTCTCAGATAATCTGTCTTATTTATTTCAGTCTGCCTCTTTTCCATTGTCCCAAATTTCTAGAAACAGAGGAGGCCTCAGACATTCATGAATTAAAGTCACACCTTTGTTTACAAAAAAGAGGTTATGTACAGTCTCTATTTCTACCTTGCTTGAAGACTTCTTTGTTACGGTGAACAAATTTTTAAGTTTCACCCATCTTTAGAAGTCATACATTTTGGCGGTGTGGAGTAGGACTGGAATCTAAGACCCAATGATTATTGAAAGTTAAGCCACATACATATGCTCTACTTTTCAGACAACCGTGATGAATTTTTTGTTGTGTAAACAACTGATTACTTATTTCCAATAAAGTAGCTAATTGTTTTTTCTCTTCAAAAATAAACCTATTTTACAGAGCTACATTGCCCTCTGGAATATACTATTCACATAGAGAATTTCTGCGTTTCTGTGATTCTACACCAGCTGAACGTAAACAAGAAATGGATGAATTGAATAATACACTACAAACCTTGTCTGAACAAATAAAGAAGGAAAAGAAAGTGAGTGAAATGATGGGAGTCATTCAGTGATATTATTATTATTACTCTATGCTGGTTGCTTTGCCTCAAATATTTTCACGACATATATTGACTTTTTGACCTTTATGGATTATTGATATTTTGCACCTAAACCGCAGAGGTGATTTCAACCTTGTTCTAGGAGTCAGTCATCAAAGTAGCTGTGCCCATCAGGGATGCCCACTGTCCCCATTTCTGTTTGATTTCATCGTAGATATCGTAATAATGGACTTAACCCTAACTGCTGACTTCAGCGACTCAGTGATTGACTTGTTACCATCAGGGAATAATCTCGTTGACTTAGAATATGCAAATGATATAGTCATCCCTCCTGGCTGAAGACGCTGACAAAATGCAGTTGAGTTTTCTAAACATCTTGAGGAGCAGCAATCTTCGAATATTCGGTATGCGATTCGCTCCCGTCAAATGTGAGATGATGCTACAGGACTGGACTGAATTACATCGACTCACTCCTAGCCTAAAGATAGACAGGAGTTAAGTGGTTGGTGGAGCGTGTTAACCATTTCACTTATTTGGAAAGTTGCATCAGCCAACGCTGACGGGATCACACTATCGAAACAAAAGGACCGTTTGGCTTCTACCAAATTACACCACCTCTGGCTTAGTAGACGTGATATCCAGTTGGCTGTCTATCGACCAAAGAACATGTGTACTGCTCAGTAGCAGCAGCAGTTCTCTCCGTCCTCCTTTATGGCTGGCTGTGAATGAGACGTGACTATTGAGAGTGGAAGACATGAAAAGCCTGGCTAGCTGTTTTTGACCATAGATGCCTGTGTTATATCTCCCATGTGTTAGGTTTAATAGAATGTGTAATATTGAGGTTAGGCATCGGTCGAATGCCAGGTAAGGAGGGAGAATCAATCGACGATACTGTGAAGTTACACTGATTGAGATGGTGTGTTACGCATGCATTCGCAGCCATCACCTTCCTCGACAGTCCATGTTGTCAGTTGAAATAGGATCAGGTTGGAAAAGACTTAGTGGCTTCATCAGTCAATGAAGTTCATAACAGTTGGTTCAAGGTATCCAAGTAGGCAGATGTATACTTCTTGGTTGGTTGTGGTCCTCGAGAGTGTAAGAACCAATGGTAGCTGGCGACAATTGGTGAAATGGCTCAAAATCGTTCTCGGTAATGGCTAGTGCAGATGAATTCACTCTTTATGATTTATAATATCCAATGAAACTCTATTGTACTTCCATATTACTATTCCTTTTGACTCATATCTCTGTTTATGATCTCTTTCTCTTTTGAATCTCTTTTTACTCTCTTCTCTTGCTTTATGAAAGGAGTGTGGCAACTGGAACTGCTGCACATCTGTGCAAAGTTCTATGTTGAAACCAGTCAGTCAGTCAGTCACTGTGGCTTGAAACTTATCATATTTATCGTATCTATTCTGCCGCATGCCTGACATCAATGGTCGGCCTACAAAATTTGGGCTACCGATATCACATGGTGAAAATTCCATACTTGTACCAAAAATACGGTGTGGAATCAAGCTATAATCGAAATAAAATTATTATTGTTGTTCTCTTCAGTTTTGAGTGGAACATAGGACTTTTACTGCATAGCTTTATTTCATCGTGTTCTCTTCAGTGTGTTTTAGTGGGCTTCACGAATGCCCATTAGCCTTCATATTCTCCGGGTTACCCTCGGATCGACGTCCAACTCGTTATTTTCCTCTTTGACTTCCACTCCAGCGATGACCTGGCGCGTGATATCAATCACCGATTCGCTCAGCGTATGTCCCGTTCACCTATAAATTTCATCAGGCATATTTGTTGAGCAATAGGGTTTTGGTTGTTTCGTTACAGGCCAGAATTTCTTGTCGCTATTCCACACAAGCCATCTGATCTTCAGAGACAGATAAAACAGCTGTTGATAAAAGTCTTCAGTCATCCATTCGGAATGTTTTTGGTGACGCCATGGACTAAATCTCTGACCTCTGCTGCAAACTGCAGAAGCTTTCCCAATTGATTTCAGACTGATGAAAGTCTACCTTGCCTTAAGCGATTCTGGTCTTGACATCCTCATGTGTGTGGCGCACCTGAAGTTGAAACAACGCTGCCTAGATAAGTGAAGGAAGTAACCTCGGTCAAATCTCTCCTGTTGATGGTGATTAGTGCTTTTTTGTTGCTATTAGTCAGTTATCTTCATCAATTCCCTCTTCTCTCTGTTCTGTTGAATTCTTGTCTTTGATGCTTCTTCGACCAACCTGTTGATTTTCGCCTGTAAGTCTTTGAGTTTGTCCGCCACTTTACATAAATCAACCGCGAAATTCAGGTCCTCTAGAGTCTTTTATATCGGTTCAACGTATTCCTGCTTTTTAGCTCCCCACCCCACGGTCTTCCGCATAATCCAGTCGACCACAATCAGGAATATGATCGGCGACAGCAGACAGCTTTATCTTACTCATATCTTTAGTTGAAAGTCTTCGCTTAGCTTTCCATTTTGGATCACTTGATATATAGCATCATCACCGTCATATAACTGTTGAATGAGGTTGATAAAGATTTGCATATTGCACTCTGTATCTTGTCCAAGGCTTCCTGTGGCCGATTGCCTCCAACCATCTAATATCATCAAATCAATGTGCACCGTAATGACGAGCCATCTAGTGGCATGGTGGCCACATTGCAAACTTGACTGCAATAGCAATCAGTCTGCTCTAAAGAAAGGATTACACACACACACACACACACAAATTACACTAGTTACTGACTAGTGTCCAATCAAAAATATCCAATACAGTCAGTCCTACAGGAGGTCAATCACGAGCGTGAATAGCTCAGTGGTAACGTCTCTGACTGCAGCACTCACTGGGTGACACGGGTTCGAATCTCAGAAGGAGGGAGATGAGTTCCTTCGAGGTTGCAATACACCTTGCTGACTGATGAGTGCCAACTAGTACGAAACTTAGGTCCAGGCAAGACTTCCTGCCGATTGCCTCCGACCATCTAATATCAACAATTCACAGTGCACCGTAATGACGAGCCATTTAGTGACATGGTGACCACATTGCGAACTTGGCTGCAATAGAAATCAGTCTGTACCAAACAAAGGACTAGACGCACTACACACCAATAATAATAATAACAGTAATAATTTGCTTTATTCCCAAACAGTACTTGTGATACAGAATGGAATTCTCAGCATTTTTACTACAGTATTGCATCCAGTTTGTACATTATCAATAAATAGAATTCTACATAGATTAAGGAAACCACAGTTCATTATGACAACAACATATTGGCATGTTGGTAGCAAAGGTAAAGCTGAACAGTGTTTGAAGATGTCAGAAAAGTAGGTTCTATCATATTTACTGGCGTAAGCGGAAAAAAGAAACAAAGCAGCACATAACGGACAAAAAAGAGAGAGAGAGAAAAGGAAAAGAAGGAAAGAAAATGTTGTACCTATTGATGATGTGAGTTGGAAAGACGAGATCCAGTTGTTCTACTGACTATTCAATGAATTATAAGTGTCACGCCTAATGCTTTCCTTATCGCACAGAACACGAGCCAAGTAGGGTATGGTTGAGTTTTTGTACTTGCTAGTGCGAGCATATACTTTTCTATATAGCCTTCTGGTTTTGCCTGATGAAATACAAGAGGAGAGTTGTGATTGAAGAGGGTGGTGTGAGTTAGATAGAATGGATTTAGCCCATTTTTCGCATGAGTCCAAGTGCCTGTCGACTAGAATGTTAACAAGCTGGTTAAGTGGCATATTGCTTACCCTGCTGACAACCTTTAACATCCTGCGTAATATCTTATAGTCTTTCTTCAGTAGCCCGGGAAAAACTAAGGGGGAACAATAGAGAATAATAGGCAGGATGGAAGAGTTAACGAATCGTAAGAGTAAGGATTGGGTCGGGTTATTCCAGAATATCTTAACTTCTTGATGTAGAAGGTAAGATGGAATATTTTCTTAGAAATCGCCAAGATATGAGACGAACAGGAGAGGTCAGCAGATAGAATGATACCTAGGTATTTAATTTCCGATTTGGTTTCTATTTCAGTGCCGTCTATGTTGCATACCTCGTGAGAGCCAACCAGTTTGTTTAGGTCGGATTTATGCCTAAAGGTGAAATTGACTGTTTGATATTTAGAGAGATTTAATATTTGACAGACCGTTTTCTTTGGACCACTGGCTGATTTCTGACAGAAAGCCATTTAGTTTAGAGCAGTCACTTTGACATTTGACAAGCAAAGATACTGTCAGATCGTCCGCATATTTGACAAAATTTATGTCATTTAAAGATGGTAAGTTATGTAGAAAGAAAGAAAAGAGAAGTGGGGAGAGTACAGCACGTTGGGGGACAACAGCTTCAGTCACTAGTCACCTAATAGTATCCAATCAAAGTACTCTAAAGTGTTGAAGGCGCGTCACCAAATTACTTGACGATCGATGCTGTCGAAGCCTTTCTCAAAGTCGATGAAGTTGAGGTAGGGAGTTAACTGTCGCTTTATACTCTCTGTTTCATTACGATGTATTGTAGCGTTGCTATATTCACTTCGCGCACACACGCATGATTTACTTTACTTCTTTTAATGTGTTGTTGGTTTGCATTTTACAGATTGCTGACAGTAAAAGTGAATCACTTGAAAGTATGGCAGCTTTACGGCCTCCTTCTTTGCCTATAGTAAGTTAGTCTTTTGCTAATTATTATTATTGTTATTGTCGAATAATTGTTTATTGTTTTACTGTCATCATGATTATCTAGCTTCTTTTTTCCAGATATGATGGAGAAGATTTGTAGCTCAGAGGGATGATTTTGATGTGGTTGTGTTCTCTGAGCTGGCTGAATAGTTTATTTGCGAAGCTTTCATTGCCCCCCCCCCCGTACTAGGCAACATCTTCAGCGCATACTTCAATTTGAATTGAAGTGAGCTGTTAGATTTCTCCAGGTCGGATCACAAAACAAGACCAATGGCGAATGAAATACAATGGACCAGTGCTACCCTGATTCTACTGCAGACCCAATATATACGAACCAAATATCCCGTTACGACCAATTGCATCATTCCCAGGAACCCCTAATTACAATTTAAACAAAGAATTATGCGGAAAATTGAAACATGTAATGGATTCCTGAGGTCACTCCATCAAATCTGCTATCCAATTTCTAGAGAAAATTAGGGGCATTCAATTAGATGAGCAAGAAATAATGATATCCTTCGACGTCACAGCATTATATACCTCAACTGTACAGAAACTAGCAGAAGTGACCATGGAGCAACTACTCAGCAACGACAAACAGCTCCTGCAACAATCAAAAAGGCTGCACACAAGTTGGATGGAATGCATAAACCTATGCCTAACAACGTACTTCCAATTCGACGGCCAAATATATGAACAAGTTAAAGGAACACTCATGGGATCGCTAATATCAGGTTTGATTGCAGAAGCGGTGATGCAAAGGCTCGAAAATATAATCCTACCAAAGATCAAACCCGAAATTTGGATACGTTACGTAAATGATGCATTTGTAATAATCAAAAGAAACGAGTTGGATAAAACTCACAACTTAATAAACAACGTCTTCAACGACATCAAATGCACAAGCGAAGAGGAATCCGAGAACAAGATCCCATTTTTGTACGTCTCAGTCAAGCGAACAACCACAGGGGAATTAGAAACTCAGGTTTACTGAAAATCGACTCACACGGACCAAATACTGAATTACAACAGCAACAATCCAATAACACAGAAAAGAGTCTGGACTCATTACAGCATTCTCGATCAATAGACACAATGAGATAGACAAAATTTACCAATCGATAAGAAAGAAATCTCACAGACAAAGGATCAAAGTTCAAGTCAGGGAAATAACCAGCTCGAATACAAGTAGACCAGACGGTGCGAAAACACACAAAAACAACCAATCACGACGTTAAACGTCACCCCCCACCAGGAGAGATGACCAATAAACTCGTGGAGAAATCTAAAAGCTCGCTTCAATTCAAAATGAAGTATGCGCTGATGGAAGATGTTGCCTAGTAAGAGGGGGCAATGAAGGCTTCACAAATAAACTATCCAGGTAGCTCAGAGAACACAACTATATCAAAAAGAGCTTCTTTTTTGTCCTGTTAAGGATTTATAAATAGGGAAGCATAAGTGTGTATGTGCTCGCCGGAAGAGGTTTTAACAGGCGTCCATCATTGCGCCTATCATCTTTCCAACACATACAAAGAGGAGATGGGGTTCATACAATTGTGCATATGCGTTTCAAAATGAAGAACTAGATCACTGTGACGCTTTAACTAATATGCTGATCGAAGTCATGTTAGATCACAAACTGACCAAAGTGAGAGGATCAATGAGGAACCGAGGAGCACTACACGGCATCTGTTTTGTCCTAGTTCTTCTGAACTCAGTACTAACCACCTATCATCATCATCATCACCTTGCCCAAAGATCGAACCCAAGACTATCAGATTATGCGAAGCGAACGCATTGACTATTAAACCTTTGAGACAGAATTTAATAGTGGCTCATGTGAAGACAAATACCCGTTAGCGATGATCATTGGCTAGTGTCAGCTGCGCTATATCAAGAATTGGAATGGAATTCATGGGCTGGCTATCAGATCGAGTCCCAGTGGCTCGTCTTGTAACCGGAAGGAGTCGTGGGTTTGAACCCTGGCGGTTGATGCTCATTGATGAAGTCTCATACTAGGACAAAACAGTTGTCCAGTACTCTTTGGTGGTTTTCCAAAGGTTCTCTATTAGGTGTCACTTTGTGATGAAATATTGTAACCGATCAAATCCCTGCAAACCTAAACTTGAATTCTAATTTCTATCGATTTTTGCGATATACAGCGCGACCGCTAGCTAGTTTTCTTCAGCGAGTATTTGTCCTCACAGCCGACCTAGTGGACACCGTCGTTCTTCCAAACATCTTACTAAAACAAGAGGAACTGTATCCTTTGATTTAACCAAAGATCTGTATACACCATGTTGATAATACATTTGTAATAATTAAAAGAAATGCGATTTGGAATATACCCATAAATTAATAGACAACTGATGGATGTACCTGCATTCCCCAGTGAGTGGTGTTGTTCCCAACGAGGCTCGAACCCAGTGCCCATAGTTTCAAACGCCAAAGCGTTGTTATCCACTAGACCACTTGAGGCAGGTACATCTAGCTGACGAGTCCCAAATGGGATGAAATGCACATGCTGGATTCCACTGCTAGTCACCATCCACTAATTAACTTCTAATTACATGCCCAGATATCGTCGAAGCATCTGCACAAGAAGCCGACATGTCGACTTGAGACCGAACACTTCTGTCCAATCAATCGACGGGAAAATCTAAAATTCAATTGAATAATAATTAATATGATCCGTTGCACAAGACGTGGCTCGCGTCGCCCAAGTGGTCTAGTGGATCACACCTTGGCTTTTGAAACTATGGGCACTGGGTTTGAGCTTCGGTGGGAACATCATCATCAGTCACTGTGGAATGCAGAGGTGCATCCAAATGAAAATTCCCAAATGGGACGAAACGCGCATCCTAGATTCCACTGCTAGTCGCTATCCACCAATTAACCATTTAAATTAGGACTAAAATTGAGCAAATAAATTGGATGACGTAACATAAATGTCTAGAAATTAAGCGTTGGTCAAGTCAGTAACAGTGGTAATGAGGTGTAGAAATTAAATCGGGTGGGGGTGTAGAGAACAAGAAAGTTGAAAATGTAAAATATTACAACTGAAAAGACAAAAGAATAATAATGAAGAGATAGAAAGAAGTAGAATTTACCTGTCGGGTATTAAGATAGATTACGCCCATTGCAAGTGTAGTGACTTAACGAACTTCTTCTGTATGCAGAGTTCAGGGCTTATTGCATTGGCATTGCTTCTACAGTTTGAAGAAGTCTGATTCGTACACCTTTAGGAATACTACTTCGTATTCTGTAGACGACTTTGAAGTTTGTTTGCGGGTGTGTGTGTAGTTTGTTGTCCGGAACCTATCAGATGTTCTAAGATAGAGCTGCATGGGGGCATCGTTTTTTCCTTTGTAAAACCATGCTGGTAAGTGTTCAGTGATACGTTTGGATAGCGAACGCCGCGGTACGGCCGGCATACCTGGCTCCACACAAGCAGGTGAATTGGTAGATACACATTGATGTGAGGCCAGTCAGCAGTGGTAGCTTATCCTTCACGTTCATACGAATCACAGGTTTCATGGAGAAGAGGTTAGTCGTAGTTATATTGACATTTGAAATGATGTTTAGAAGTCAAAAATAGGATTACCCGTTGGGAAAAGTCAATAGTCTGTTGAGACTTCAAGTGATTCGATGAATCTCTGCTTATTCTCATTTTTTAGGAGGGTGTAGTTTGTAGTTTGTATATCTATTGGTGAGTAGCTTACTTACTTACCTGCATACTTATTCAACAAGTTATTCATAAGTGTTTGTGTGAATGTGTGTATGTACTACTACTCTAGGGGATCGATTGTTGACAGAATCTTGTCGTAAGTCGTCTAGTCCCAGGCTTAATGTGATACATTCTATCTGCTGATCTTTCCTGGTCGTCTCATATCTTGATGATTTATAAGAAAATATTCCGTCTTACCTTCTACATCAAGAAGTCAAGACATTCTGGAATAACCCAACCCTTACTCTTACGATTCGTTAACTCTTGCATCCTGCCTATTATTCTCTATTGTTCCTCCTTAGTTTTTCCAGGGCTACTGAAGAAGGACTATATCTTATTACGTAGGATGTTAAAGGTTGTCCGCAGGGTAAGCAGTGTGCCACTTAACCAGCTTGTTAATATTCTAGTCGACAGGCACTTGGACTCATGTGAAAAATGGGCTGAATCCATTCTATCTAACTCACACCACCCTCTTCAATCACAACTCTCCCCTTGCATCTCATCAGGTAAAACCAGAAGCCTATACAGAAAACTATATACTCGCACCAGCAAGTACAAAAACTCAACCACACCCTACTTAGCTCGTGTTCTGTGCGATAAAGAAAGCATATGGATGACACCTATAATTCATTAAATAGTCAGTAGAACAATTGAATCTCATCTTTCCAACTCATATCATTTATAGGTACAACGTTTTGTTTCTTTCTTTTCCTTTTCTCTCTCTTTTTTTTCTTTTCTGTTATGTGCTGCTTTGTTTCTTTCTCTTGCTTACGCCAGTAAATATGCTAGTATCTACTTTTCTAACACCTTCAAACATTCTGTTCACTTTTGGCTTTGCTACCAATATGCTAATATGTTGTTGTCAAAATTAACTGAGACTACCCATAATCTATGTAGAATTTCATTTATTGTTAATGTACAAACTGGATGCAATACTGTAGTAAAAGTGCTGAGAATTCCATTCTGTATCACAAGTACTGTTTTGGAATAAAGCAAATTATTATTATTATTAATACAAGAGCTTCTTCGAGTTGAGCCCCATTCAACACCTGGTAATTTATATATTCATATATATTCTTCCTTTCATTTCGCCTGACATCCTTACACCTTTTAAGAAATGAAACGTTGCAACTCAATGATCGCTTCATGATACGACTATTTCAATTTCACATTGAAGAGATTTCCTCACGAATAATTAATGTCGGTTAGAGAATTATTGAAGACCTTAATTCCTGAGACAGCTGTTTCATCATACTAGTTTAAAACTTGTTTATCAGTAGTGTTCAGCCTACGACCCCACCAGGGAACCGGTTCGTTTAGCGTTCAGTCAGTGAGTTCTAACGTTTTGCGCCTTTTCGCGCCACCTCTAACCAGCTTACTTACAAGTGGCTACTGAATGAATCTCCTGAAGTCCCAACGAGATGTTGTGCCGCCAGCAGGATCCCCTATGTCAGAGTGATGTGGATGGCTTATCAATGTTATTGGTTTGGAATTAAAGCCACACAGTGAATTGTGACAGAGGGGTAGAATTCACGGGTGGTTTTTTGAATTCATTGTAATCTGAAGGTGCTGGGTTCGATCTCTGTTGATGGGATGGTTGGGGTGGTGGTGGGGGGAAATGATCATCGCTGCGCACTGATAATAGCCCCTTTCCAGGTTTTAACACAAATGATGTTCAAAAGTGCCTCAAGTCTCTGAACCCTTCCCAGAGCTTAGGTCCAGATCATATACCTAGTATTATTTTCAAAAAATGTTCTGATATTCTATGTTACCCTCTCACTGATCTGTTTAACAAATCTTTTTCCAGTAATATTGTGCCTGCTATTTGGAAAGACATTAAAGTCGTACCCATACCTAAATCGTCTACTGGAGCATGTGTCAAATTTAGACCCATTGCTATTACCTCTCCTTTTTTGAAAACTATGGAGAAACTACTTTTACTTAGTCTTGTACCCTCTCTTAAATCCTTTAATGACCCAAAACAGTTTGCTTATAAGCACAGTAGAAGCACTTCAGATGTAGCTGCCGTCTTATATCATAACATTGCTTCCAGTCTAGACAAAGGGGCTAAATTTGTTCGTTGTGCCTTCCTAGACTATACATCTGCTTTTGACTCGGTCCCTAGGGACATCTTATTAAATAAACTTGCTGCAAGTCAAACGGAATGTTGGGCTGTTAACTGGTTACATTCCTATTTCTCAGAAAGAAAGCAGTACACCGTGTATAAAGGGAAGTCTTCCACTTCATTGCCTACTGAAGCTGGTGTCCCTCGAGGCGCTGTCCTTTCTCCTTTTCTTTTCTCTTTCTTCTTACATGACTTGCCTCAGTTTGATGAAATAAACTTTGTGAAGTACGCTGATGATTTAACTGTTTCAATGGCTGTTAACTCCCAGCTAGATTGTACCAAAATAAATAGCTTTCTGTCGGGAGTCAGTAAATGGTCTGAGTCTAACGGTCTTAAACTGAATCCTTCTAAATGTCAAACTGTCAATTTCAGCTTAAGATGTAAACGACAGTTAAAAGAAGCCGTCGATTCTCATGACAGTTGTAAGATTGATGACAATGATATAGGAATTAAATCAGAAATTAAGTATCTTGGACTTATTCTCTCTTCTGATCTCTCCTGGTCTTCCTATGTCTCAGCGATCTCCAGTAAAATATTCCGCCTGACATTTTACATTAAGAAGTTAAGGCACTCGGGTATAACTCAACCCCTCCTCTTACAGTTTATAAACTCTTGCATCCTACCTATTCTTCTTTATTGTTCACCCTTATTCTTTCCTGGTTTGCTTAAAAAGGACTTTGTCACAATTCGTAGAATGCTGAAGACTGTCAGTAGGATGAGTGGTGTCCCAGTGGACTACATAGTTAACGTCGTTGTCGATAGACTCTTGACTTCGTGCAATAAATTTGCTAGAGGGATTTTGTCTGACTTGGAGTATCCACTTTACCCTCAGCTTTCACCTTGCATCTCCTTAGGTAGAACAAGAAGTAACTTCAGAAAACTGTATGCTCACACGTCCAAGTATAAAAATTCTATGATACCATAGTTGGCACGTATTTTATGTGATGAAAATAGTGTCAGGCAAGAATTGACTAACCTTTTTTCATCTAGTAAATAAACAATCTCCTCCATCCATCTTTATATACCTTCAAGTTTTACTTTTATTATTTCTATTATATTTATAGTCCTGTTAGTTCGTCACGAAATCCCTATAGAAACCTACATAATTTAACTATTTCAATTCTTTTACTAATTGTGATTGACATCCTTGGTGTACAGAATTCTTCATTTTTTTCGGCAGTTTATTGCTGTTTCTTATTTATTTATTTTTTTTTTTTACATTTTTTGCTACAGGATCCTTATTGGTCCCCAGTGGATATTCAACTAGTCTGTCATGCAATCGGTGATTTAGGACTTGATTATGTGGCGATTGCTGAACGTTTGATCAATAAAACACCGACAATGGTAGCCAAATTCGTACAAATGTACGGGCAACAACTTAACCTCCATCAGTTGGCATCATTATCGCCGTTAATTTTGCTTTAAAAAAATTTTTTTTGTAATGATTACTATGATTATTGTTATTACTGTTATTGTTATATTTGAGTATATTGTAAATACAATAAAATTCCTACCTCAGCGGGTTGATCTCTGACGAAATCTCTTCACGGATACAGAAGGGTCGTTTGGCATTTGCTGCTGCCAGCTTACGCTATATCTGGCTTAGTAGACGTGATATCTGGTTGGCTGGCTGGCTATCGATCAAACGATGGGTGTACTGCACGGCAGCAGTTTGCTCCATCTTCCTTTATGATTGTGAGTGAGACATGATCATTGAAAGTGGAAGACACGAAAAGCCTGGTTAGCTGTCTTTGATCATTGGTGTCTGCATTGGATTTCCCATGTTAGGTGGTATAATGGCGTGAGTAATATTGAGGTTAGGCATCGGTCGAGTGTTAGGTGAAGAGGGAAAATCAACCGACGAGGTTGTGAAGTTACACTGATTGAGGCGATGGTTAGGACATATGTGTTAAGCATGCCTGACTAGCCATCGCCTTCCTCGACAACGGGCAGGGTTAGCTGACATAGGGTCAGGTCGGAAACGAGCCAGTGGTGGTCAAACTAAAACATGACATCGGTCAATGAAATCCACAACAGTTAGTTTAAGCCAGACACGTAGGGAGGTGTAGACTGTGTGACTGGTTGCTGTCCTCAGGATAGTAAAAACCAGCGTGTTTAAGAAAAAAATCAAAACAAGATCTGTTTTCTGAACGTTTTGCTGTGTAAGTCACAGCTAGCTTCTTCAGCAGAATTATTTGGATTTTATTAATCATTAAAATATATTGTCAAAAATTTTTACATAAATTGAAACCATATCGAAAGGACACACACGCTGAACAACTTCAAAGACTATTTGCTTCATATAATATTAAAGTTTATTTCAAGCCCTCTAATTCTCTAGAGAAAGCTTTGGTGAATGTCAAAGATATGGTTCTTAAAATGTCACAAAGTAATTGTGTCTATAGGATAAAGTGTTCAGAATGTGAAGCATGCTCTTCTATAGGGGAGAGCAGTAGACAGGTGAAGGTCAGAGTGAATGAACATAGACTACAAAATTTACGTATAATGTGTTGAGACAAATTAGGTTCATTGTAGGTTCAATGACTGAACAAAATTCCTCCGTGTACAGAGTTCTAGATTAAAAGGTGGATTTTCATAGTTTCTGTGGTTTGAAGAAGTTCGATTCATGCTACTTTTGCGAGATCACGTACTACACAGATGACTTTGAAGTTGGTTATTGGGTTAGCCTGGTGTCTAGATTCGACCAGGTGTTCCGCAATAGGGCCACAGGGGATGGGTGAAGATCTTTCTCCTCCTTTGTAAAGCCATGAGAGTAAGTGTTCCATGATACGTTTAGATAAAGAACATTGAGTACGGCGGACATACTCAGCTGCACAGTGGTAGGGAAATTGACACTTTGTATAGTAACGTAACTGTTATCTAAAACTTACAATATTTATAATATATTAGATTTCGAGCTTGTGTCTCTACTCTTGTTTAAAAGACTGAATGATAAGTTTGTTTGCCTCACTTCCTATAGGTCATGAATTCGATTCTTGGATTATTATTATTGTCATTATTATTGTTTCCTTTAATTCCTAGGGGAACATAGTAAATCAGACATAAACCATCAGCGAAGTATGGATCCTCCAAGTTTTTTGTGTGCGTCCATTTTATGCCTGTTTCCTCGTTGCCCGGCCCGCCGCTATCTGTCGCATTATCCGGTCTACCGCAATCAGGAAAATCATTGGAGATATTAGTGGGTAGCCAGTTTGTCTCACTCCCGTCTTCACTTCGAAGGATTCTGTGAGTTCCCCGTCGTGGACTACTTGGCATGCAGCATTGTCGTACAACAGTTGGATGAGATGTATAATTGTCGGTGGCACCCCGTAGTAGCGAAGTAGTTGCCAAAGCACCTTTCGATCAACTCTGCTCTATCGAAAGCCTTTTCAAAGTCAATGAAGTTGAGATAGAGAGGTCACTGCCATTCCAAGCTCTGTCCAGTGAGGATCCGTAGTGCTGCAATTTGATCGATGCATGACTTGTTTCTTCTGAATCCAGCCTCTTTAGGTTAAAGTTTTCATCCAGGTCGGCGTGTTTGATTCTCTACAGGATGATGCGGCTTAGTATTTTGCTTGGGATGGACAGGAGCATAATTCCGTGCCAGTTCTTGCATTGATCTAGGTCCCCTCTCTTTGGTAGTTTGAATAAGTAACCTTTCTTCTAATCTGCAGGTACCTTGCCCTCTTTCCACACCTTCTCCAGTAGTAGTGTCATGAAGTCCGCTGTTGTCTCTGGGTCCATTTTCAATGCTTCTGTTGGGATTTCGTCTGGTTCTGCTGCTTTTCCAGCTTTTAGCATCTTAATTGCCTTCAGGATTTTTGTTTTCGTTAGAGGGTTGATGTCCACTGGTAGTTCTGCTTCCGTTGTTGGTATTGTTGGGCGCTTTGTAGGTGGCGGTCGATTTAGAAGTCTTTTGAAGTGTTTCCTTTGCTCCATCTCTTTGGTGATTGACTTTCCATTGTCATCCTTCACTGGCTTAATTTGTGTTGAACTTTTCCCCGATAGGAACCTAGTTGTTTGGTAGAGTGTTGTGATGTCTCCTTTGCCTGCACTGCAGCTTGTTCTGCTTCACTTGCCATTCCTAAAGAATCCTAAACTCGGAGTAAGAAGATACTGGCCTTCTGCGTAGTTTCAATGGTTCTTGAACTGTAGCGGAAACTTCAAACAAACAGATGTATCAGTAGGAGGGAAAAGAACAAGAAGTTCAGCAAAGATGTAGATCTTTTCAGCGATTTCATTCTCAAAAGCAGCTGTACAATCGCATTCCACATTGTAACGAATAAGCCTAAGGGTCATAATAATTTTCATTTTGATAAGAAAGTTTGAAGGTGTGAATATAGATTAAAAGGGCGCTTAGAGACAAGATTACACAGGATTAGAAAATAGTTTTTTTTTAACGACTAGAGGTGTAAGTGAGAACAAGTTGAGAAAATAATATTTTAAAAACTGGAAAATAAAGGGTGGATGGAAAAACGGAATGAAAGGAGACAAACTGAACTAGATCCATGGTAAATGTGAGGGTTGAACCAGTTACTTTTGAACACACATCTCCGGTTTTTCGAGGCATATAACGAGGGCTTCTGCAGTACAAAGAAGTCGGAAATACACTGACTGCCTTTGGTAGGTAGATTTTTGTTTATTTTGTAAATGACTCTGAATGATGGATGAGTGAGTCAGTTGAGACGCTGTGACAGGTATTGACGAGGTGTTCAGTTATGGAGCTTCTAAGTGAACCAGTGGCTCCTCTTTGCAGCCAGGCTGGATGATGTTCTCTAACACGTTTTGATAGGAGCTGCATAGAACGATCTATATACCTAGCTCCACACGAACAGGTGAACTGATATATGCACATTGGATTGGTCAAATATGGAAGTCTGTCCTTCACATTACTCCGAAGAAGTTGGTGGTTAGAGAAATATCACTCTTAGAGTTGCTGCAGGAAAAGTCTTCCATGTAAAAATACTCAACAGCTGCTTCGTCCTAGTATAGGACTCTTCATAAGTACGCACTCACCACATGGGTTCGAACAAATTACCTTCTGGTTACAAGGCAAGTGAACTCGTAGACCATTAAACCACTGAGACTCGATCTAATGACCAGACTATGAATTCCAACTTCTGCCAATTCACGACATAGCGCGACCATCTCTCGATGTCTTCTTCGATGAATAACTGTCCTCACCTTCAACCTGCTGTAACCTACTGGTCACGGCTTCCCGCTAGGACCCTAGGGAACTGCCTGAATAGGGTCAGTCGCTGGTGAGCATCAGATCAATTTTCAAGTATTGGTCCTGCAGGGATTTTGTTTGATTGGTTGGGACATTGGATTGGATCCCAGTGGTTTAATGGTCTGCGAGCTACTTCGCCACCTTTCAACCAGATGGTCATGGGTTCTAACCATGACGGTGGATGAGTACTGCTGAAGAGTCCCAAGCTAGTGAGACGAAACAGCTCTGCAGTACTCCCTGGTTGGTTTTCCAATGGTTCTCTAACCTATTTCAGCCCATGATGAAATCCTCCAACCAATCAAACAAACAAAAAACATCCCTACAAAGCCAATACTTGAATATCATATTATTTATAGCGCCTTTATTCCAGACATTGTGTTTTATACAATATGGAATTTTCAGCATGTAATACAACATTACATCTAATTTCCTTTTTACATTACATAATACATGGAGTGGGGGAGAAACAATTAACAAGACATTTACATTGATAATATTGTTCAATGAGAACATGAACATTAAAAAATAAAATAAAATTCGAGTTAAAATGTTAACACCATTTTACTACTGAAACGAAAAGAGTAAAAAAAGGTTTGCTTAATCCGCCCACGCAAAGTCTTCTGTGATTAGTTATTGAGTCCCTCAAGGTTAGGCTTTGTTCTTGTTTTTTCTCATGACCCCAATTTGGGACATAAACATTGACGTCAATTGTTGTCTATAGTTTTGTATTGCAGACAGCTCTCACCACAAGTGTCTCGTGGTGAATTAGCGGCTTCCTGCCTTACATGTTTCTCATTACATAAAATGTGTCTTGTCCAAATAAGGTATCTTAGAGTATAAAGTCTTCTATAATTGCTCCCAGTCCTAGGTGATAAGATGCTAGAGGAGAATAATGCATAAAGAGGATGCTCACATTCTGACAACACGACATTCGTCAGTTTCTTACGTAAGTTCAAGTGTTTCTCCTCAACAGGGCTAACTAGTTGATTAAGCGACACCCCACTCACTCTGCTGACAGCTTGTAGCCTTTCTTAGTTGGCTCAGGAAAGATTCAGGTGAAGCTGTCAAGAAGGATAGATAGAATACAAGAAATAACAAAATAAAAGACAATTTAGCGAGGAAAATTTTCGTTATCGGCAAAATCATCTTCAGACGCCGTAAAGTCGCATTTACATTTACCAGAAATGTACAGTAGTCTATTACTGAGTAATAGGGAGGGGTGACATAATTGATATAATTACTCAGAAGTGGCTTTAGAAGTAAAAAAAAAACTTTTGAACTACGTAAT